CCTCAATCATTAAATTCATACAAATATTTAGAGTAAAAAGAAGCCAACATAGTTTTAAGTTTGATAGTAATTTGAATATAAAAATTTATAAATTGTTGCTATATTTAAAATAATCTCCAATGTGAAGACATCCTTATAAAGAAAAGAAATAAGTAGAAGGAAAGGTTCACAGAACAAAAAAGTGCAACTGTAATAAACTCATGTGAGATGTAAGTAAATTAAATTTATATTCCTTAAAGGACTTTAGCACAACTAAAACACACCTCTATGTGCCTTTGGTAGCCTTTTCATAACAAACAAAAAATAATGACTTGAAAAACCTTTATAGGATACAGGTCCTATATTGTTCTCAAAACTTCAAAAATTAAACAAAACATAGGCTCCAAATTAAATTACACAACTAAAAATATCAAAATATCATACGGCATGTCGTCAACTACATCCTCACGTCTGACCTTAATTTGACCTGATCAAAGGTACAGTTGTGCAAAAATTTTGAAACATTTTCTGGAGCCTATCACGTGACTTATATAAACAACAAACAATTAAGAAACAGAGAGTGGGAGAAAATCAGCCGAAAAAGCTACATGCTACATGACGACACTCATCATAAAATGTCTTTCAACTGAAGTCCAGACTATAAGTTAAAAATCCTTTTAACATAACCACAGTCTATTTCCTTCATTCAATGCAAACTAAACTCATGTCAGCAAACAATGAAGTGACACTCAAATGTCAAAAACAACATAAATCACACCCACTCACACTTTTTCCAGACTTTGAACCATTTATTTTGAATACAAACAATATTACGTTAAACTGAATCTTTCCAAATTCACACAAATTACCCTACAACTTGTAGTTTATCAAACTGGAACATTACCTCACACAAAATCTAAAAAGACAAGTTTATTTCACCATTTTAAACAACATTCATAACTATTGTTTTGCATATTTATTATATAAAAATCTATTTATTTCTACAATTTCTCTTGTCTGAATTTTCTTGTTTCTTCTTGTTATTTTGTGGCATTGTGTCTAATATAAATTAGTGAGGGCAATTGACCCCAACACCTTTAAAATATGAAGTCAACATTCCACTTCATTTTGCACTAATGAAAGGCTTTATAAAAAAAATTGTTGCAAGCAAAATCACTTGACATTGAAACAGACTGGCCTCTAAACTTTTATTATATCAGGTCACTTCTAATATTTTAAACTTAATGAAGTATTAAAGAGTTTAAACAAGTACATAAAGAAGGATAAAGATAAATATATTATTCTATGACCTGTTCAAATCATCCTCATCATCATCTTTGCAATTTTAATTATTCTTATGTGTGAATTCTCAGGTCTAAATCAAATCCAATAATTTTCATAGGGTTATGAATAAGGCCCTCTATATTGCTCCCATTTCATTTTTTTTTTTACGAATGTTTACCCAATACAAGACCCAAGAGCTATTCAAAGTAGATAGGTTACTGTGTGGAGTTATATTAATGTAAGAAAAGGCAAAATAACAGGAAAGATTGACAGCTAATTTTAGACTTGAAGAGGTCAAGATTTTATTAGCAATTTCAGAGATCAGTTGGAGACATTAGAAGAGTATAGAGTTGAAGTAGACTTTAGAAGGGACTGGAAACCGAATCCAAAACAGGAAAGAAGGTATGACCCTCTACTGTTCAAAAGACAGGGGGGGAGTGTGAACTGGACAATAAACAAACCTATCTACTCCTATTGGGAGAGTAAAAAAAATAATAGTTAATGAATAAAATTTCAGATAGAGATGTCATAAATACAGAGTTGATGGAACCAGAAACCCAATCCCAAACAGGAAATAAGGGATAAACCTCTACTCTTGTTCAAAAAAATAGAGAGGAATATGAACCAAACAATAGGCAAACTTACCTACTCCTATTGGGGTAGAGAGAGAAAAAAAATAAGATAAATAATTAGTGAATAAAAATTCAGAGTTCAGGTGGAGATGTCAACTTTTGGCACTTTAATAAGGACAATTTCCAGATCAGAGCAAAAAAGAATCAGACAAGATGTGTAATTTGATATTTGAGAGGATGCTGCGTGAAATGTGATCCAATTAACACAGATCAAAATATTAGTCCTCATATTTCATAAAATAAAAACAATATTTCTATCAACATTGTGAGATTTTTGTATATTAGTAAGTACTGAATTGTACACAAAATTGTTGTCTGAATTTCTGAGTTGAGCCATTGTTACTATTAGACCAGTTTCTTTATCTTTCCCACATTTTGGCCACATTACTCTCCAGCCTTTATCATGATTTTCCAATAATGTCACGTGAAAACCTTTATGACATGGTTATGTTGTCCTCACTAGAAAGTTTCAGCAGCCATCAATTCTTCCTCATGATGTTACTGTGCCTCTCAATTGAGTCACTGAGTTGTACCTGTGCTTTTATCTACTAATCTATTACGCCATGTCATATAGGACCGCCAAGCAACATTTTTTGAAACCCTAATGTACTAAAAGCTACAAAGGACAGGAAATTGTGGAGAGCCATGATTGCCAAAATCCTAAAGGGACATGGTACATAGAAATAGAAGAATAATGTCTTTTATAATTAGTGGTTCTTATGTTTGTGTTTATGTCTCTGCTAAGTGTATTGACTAGATTATAAGAACAAAATATGTCCACTAATTCTTTATCCCTAATGTTGTTCTCTGTCTATGCTTTTGACTTCCTGTCATAATAATTAAATGTTTTCTTTTCATTCTATAAATGATAATTGATACTTGATATTAAAACCACTCCGTGTATTACAGCTTTCAAACATTTTAAAATCTTTTTTGATGAGGCTAATTTCACCTTTGTATTTTCTATCATAATTGTTTGGATCATTACTCAAATTCTTGGTTATGTTTCCTTTTAGCAAAGATTTAACATTAATAAGTGGAATTACATGCCACAATTAATAAAATAAAGAGTTCCATTCAACATTGCCAGAAATTTACCTAACATAAAGTATAGCAATTAAAGTATTGTGATAAACACAGCAAAGATTATGAAACTTAATTTCACCCTAAGCAAGGTGGTAATACCACTAGTATGCAGTGGGTTACAAGGAATAAAGGTGAAAGAGTAGACTGAGAATAAGGAGGATTGAGGAAAGGACAAAAGATGAAGGAGATTCAAGAAGGTAGAAAATGGAGATTGACATTATATTTAAATTTTTGAAGATTGTAGTTATCAAGGAAGAAAGGAAATGGAAAAGGGTTCCACAGATAGGAAGTACAAGAAAAACTGTTGGAGTAGAAGGGGCAGTTGCATTTAGCTATTTCAACAGTAAAACCTAGTTGCCAATCTAGTAGCACACTTTAATTCATGCAGTCAAGGCACCAGAGAAAAAAACAAACTTGTCAGAGCAGATGATAGATTTGTAAATGTGTAAGATAGATTCTGACAAGAAAAATTTTTTAGCATGACACAGTGACCCAACTTTCCTCGCAGTAGATAAAGCTGTTGATTCGATATACCAGTAATGTCCGAGGAAAAGGCATAGAGTGTTGCTCTCCTGGCAGGCAGAAAAGTGAAGTCTTAAGAAGAGGTAATTTGTATCTGAATAAAAATCCATCCACATATATAAAATGCAATATTTTATATATATATATATATATATATATATATATATATATATATATATATACACACACACTGTATGCGTGTAACACTATTCACAAAATGCACAGATACTACACTGTGATCCGTTATTTACCTACCTCCCCATGAAGGAGGTTCTTACACATATGTATAGACACAAATGAAAATTACCCAGTCCCCACAACCATTATCACATAGCCATCATAATACTCTGATCCTTCCCCTTCTCTGCAATATATAGGTGCTGCTGCAGGGATGGAATCCCCAGAGTCATGTTCTGCCTGAAGACAAGAACATGGCATTGTGTTTTTGCCCCAAAATAAGAGCACATCTGAGAAAGAGAAATGGATACTATGGTAATATCAGCCTTCAGGATATGAAGCAGCACTTCTGATCCTAGGCAAAAGTGTTGGAGAGCAACATTTCGATCTTAAACAGATTGCACAGATACTACACTTTGATCTTAAGCAGAAATTTATCTCATCATTTTTAACAGGTACTATTCTAGCAAATGCTAATAACACAATAATGAGATACTAAACAGACCCATGAAAATTTCATGGTTTTCCTATTTGAAATATTTGATATATCTTAATTAAGTTAATGATTGAATAAGCTCATGGCAAGTTCTATGACAATAAAATATTTGCAGAATTTCCCCTATCACATTGTTAAATATTTGAGCTTAACAACTTTAACAAAATACAGCAATAACAATCATAAATATGAATGATGGTCCTTATTTTAAGAAGTGGGTACAAATGAAAAGATTTAAAATTAACACCTTTTTACATTTCATTGTAACAGATTACAAATACTTCTATCTTTTTTCTTTCATTCATATGTCTTGTTTTTCTATGGGATAGTTCATTATTTATGAGGTATTGGCAGGAGATGTTAAATACTTTTATCTTCCCTTTTTTCTAGCCAAATACCCATCTATTTCTCTTAACAATTTTAAAATAATTAAGCAATGTTATTTACAATAACTAATCTTATGGTAATTGCCTTACTCAGTTTCCACTGTTTGATACTGTGCAACTGAAAAATGGTGTTTTATCACGGTTACCCTCACTTCTCTGCTTGAGATCAAAATATAGTATCTGTTCTTAGTTTAATGTAATTCTCTCTCCACTTTATGTTCCCTTTGTTCTTTCTTTCATTTTTTTTCACTGAAATGTAATGTCTTTTCCCCTCTTACCACATGATCAAAATGCAGAATAGTCCATTATTTATGAGGTATTGGCAGGATGTAATGATCATGTGAACTAGCGAAGGAAGGAAGAAGTATAATTATAATAGGATTTTATTAAGTGACTTAATTATAAATTAACAATAAAGAATTGAAAATAAATACTCACTTTGTTTGGGTAACTTTGCAAAAAGCGAATTTTTTCATAAAGTTTGACATTGTCTGATCTGAGTTTATCAGTTTCATTTTGTAATAAAGTTACTTGCTGTTTGAGAACAAGATTTTGAGCCTCTAAGTCCTGGGCCCTGATACGATAACGTTCTCTTTGGCTTTGAACAATAGGAAGAAGCGAAGAGGCTGCAGTCAATGTAGACTTGTCCCCATCATTAACAGGTGGGGTCATCTCTTTCACAAAGTCAGCCATCATTTCAGTAGTTGGGGTGGTTGGTTTAGCCTCAATACCCTCAGCAGTACCCCGAAACATAGATGAGAGAGCATTTACACTTCGTAAATCTTCCTCCAGCTGTGATATCATGCCTTTTTGTTCAGTTATTGTTGAAGCTGCTTCTTTATAATTTTCTTGCAATTTGTTGTACTGCTTGGAAAGCTCACTGTGAGCCATCTTCAGTTGAGTTGTCTCAGCTTGAAGACTTTTGTTTTTTTCCAGAAGCAAAAGTTCAAGAGATTTGGACTGAGATGTTACAAGATCTTCTTCTGAGGACTTGGAAAACTCAATGGATTTCATAACACTTAATTCTCTATAAATTTCATCATAATCTCTCTGTGACTGCAATTTATCTTCCAGTTGTTGATATGCTTTACTCTGAGTGTTTAATTCTTCTTCCAGCTTTGTAATTTGAACAGATGAAGAGTCACGCAATTTTGCAAGAGATGCTTGCAAGCGCTGGACATCATCAACAAGTTGAGATATTTCTTTCTCCTTTGCAGACAGCTCCACTTCCAGGTTGGAATGCTTTAAAATGTCAAGTGCTTGCTCCATATCTGGGGCCTTTTGTAAACTTATTGATTCTTGCATATTCTGAGAAGACGCAATCAATTGTTGCTGCATCAACTGCTCCACCTGCATATTGAATAGAAGATGACATTTTAAAAATGGTCTTTATATATATATATATATATATATATATATATATATATATATATAAATAAATAAATTTGTTATGGTTAAACAATGTGTATATTAGTCTGTGCATTCATTTTACTTATATAAAATCTGAATAGGATTGTCTATTTAGTTATGTTTTAATATTAGAAAATAGCAAAAATAATCTGCAAAAAAAATAAATGTTATTTTTAAAAGTAGTTTTTTTAAATAGTAGTTTTAAAAAGTGGTGCTATATCAAAATGATTTATTTATTTTTTAGACCTTTCACTTACTAACAAAAACTAGCATGTTTAATGTGCTTTTGGTAAAGAAATTTAAAATTAATAACATTGAAATGAATAGGCGGGATCAGCGTCCATTTTTTTCTGAATGTCAATAAAATATGAATTAATTCAAATTGTTATATTTTTGGTTAAATCAAATGTTACAACTGAATAAAAAAATATTTTCGAATATTAAATAAGAATTGAAACAATGTCGCCATCCCCAAGAAAATACAACCAGAAAAAAAGCAATGAAATTTGTGATATCATTGTGCGCCAGAAACTGTTTGTAAATCGATTAAAAAAATAATAATTTAATTATCAAAAATTAAACACAATTTTCAATTATGCAAAAAATCAGTTCATCAATCCAATTCAGTATTTTTGAGAACTAAATATGGAAAAAAAAAAAAAAATGAAAAGTTTTAAGTTTTATAATACGATCTGAATCATGACTAAGAAATGTAGAAGAAAAAATTAGTGTCCCGGAGTTTTTTAAATCTTTTTCGTTTTTATTAACTTGAAGCTTCGACTTCCTTGATATAACATACAAATAATACTGTAGGTGACACTCGTGTCATTTCGCCTTTAGGGCTTAAGTTATAACGCGCAAGTACACAATAAAAATACCGACTTTCACAATGGAAAACTATCATGCCTTATTTTTGACAAAAAAATGTCTTCCTAGATTTAGCGATGGGAATAATACAGTTACTAGTTCACAGGCACAGGTATTTAGTGTGATATACACTGGCATCTCACTTGTATTTTTCATTTTTTTTCTTTTTCGTTTTTGTCACAATACCAGAAATACTTATTACTACTGAGACTCGAAAATCAATGTTCACGTCACCGAAAAGGATAGCCATTTTAACATAACAATAACATTTTTTAAAATGTCACTGGATTCTAAGAGCTGTTGACATCAACGTTTTTCAAAGAAAACAAACACATGTACTAGTGACCAATAAAAATAGAGAGAGAAAATTTTACTCAGTAAAAACTTGAAGCAAACCAATAGTAGACAATCAAGGTTTTTTAAACTAAAGACAGTAAAATAAATTACACTAAAATTCGATTTTTTTTTTCATGTAGCGTTTTGACGACAAATACAAACAGAATCCCTTTTTAGTCACTTTTAGTTCGAATATAAAAGGTCAAAAGGGCGCCTCATCGAAGTGTCAGTCTGCAAATTGGAATTATTGCAGAAGTGAGTTCAATCCTTACTAGGTGTCTCATAGCTAATAATAAGTTTTGTTTTGTATCGAAACTAAAGCAAATGACACAGAAGTAAAAATCCTAAACTTGTCATTCACATTTTCCATTCAATAGAAAATTCACATTTTAAAACAAATTTTTTTTAAAAAAATACATATTTTTAAATAAAATAATCAATAACTTAGCTCTTCTTTGAAGTCGATGAATTATTAAATAGGCCAAAAACAAAATCAATCAATTGGTTTTACTTTTGTTTCCAAGCCCGTAACTGATTTATTTACTCATTTCACATATAAAAAATAAATTTAATATTGTTTAGAAGAGAGAGCCGAGTTCGAATTCCAGTCTGGTCAGTCATATTCACTTTACCATCTCCTCTTACCAGCTAAAAAGGTTTTTTAAACTTTAGTAGGACTTTCTTACTTGTATCTGGAAAATCATAGTTATTCTCAAAATCAACTTTTATGCAATATTCACTAGAAAGAAAAAAAATGAACTATTCTTGTTTCAGCTTTTTAAATAACTCACGATGACAAATTAAAAGTGTTGGTAAACACTAAAAAAAAAACAAATCAATAAAATCAGCTAGTAACTTTTTTGAACTTCAGTAATTAGCGCTTAGAAAATGTTTAAGATTTTCAACTGAAAGTTGACAGCAACATCCAAGGATAAAATTAAAAAAACAACTTTCAAGTCTTTTTTTTTTTTAAGTTATATTGGATTGCGATTGATTTGCAACAAACTGTCGGGTTTTTTAACGTTTCATTTGCAGTTGTATGTTTTTTTTTTTTTTAAGTGTCTGAAGCAAATCACACAGAAAATAAACATTGGCTAAAGTTTTCCTGTGTACTGTTTTTTGCGATTGAGTATTTTTTTATTCAATGAAATGTACACAAAAAACATAACTTTATGAAAAAAAAAATGTCTTTTACACTCATTCAACCACAACTTTTTTTTTTTCAAATTCTTCATCTCTAAAAATATTTTTTTTGGATTATTAACCTTGCAACACACTTTCATAACAAATACCTTTCCTTGAATTATTATTCGGCAATAATCACACAACAGTAACACCATCATTCGTAAGTCGTCGTAACGTAACAACATTAACAAAAAATACTTCTAAGCCAACACTCCTTTTTTTTACTATTGTCAAATCAAATCGAGACTGTAAAAACTAAACAAAACTATTAAAATATTGCTTTTTTAATATGAGAAAGTCTTTTTAATTATAGGTGGCGAATTCATTATTTTTATTAAACTTTCATAAAAAATACAACACAAATAAATAAGCATAAAATATTGCATGAAAAAAATTTCTTTATGTGACAATTGTTTTGTTGACAACAACAAAGCAAGTATGTCGTAGTTTATCTTTTTTTTTTTAAATTTACTGACGAAGTTACAAAAAGTAAAAAAAATACACACACACACACACACTGTAAATTTAATATTTATTAGGTTTTTAACTTAGGATGGTACAGGGCCCTAAGTGTGAGGTACCTAAGACCTCAATAATACACACATTATGTTCTATGAGACTAGCTCGCTGCGTTACGACAAAGCACACAAAACGTCTTTACTAGGGTTTGTAATATTTGTATTTTTAAGCGTCAAATTGTTTTACTTTTAAGCATAATTGTCAACTTAATATGCAACAACTAAATAAGTGAATAACTACAATCACAGAAATGGCTTTGTTTCGTTAGATTTTAATGAAGTTCTAGTTTATTTATTATTTACCTGACGTTCAGCAGCCGCTGCTCTTTCGTTGGCTCTCTCCAGGTCAGCCATAATCATTTCTGTTTCGTCAGATTTAGCCATTGTTGCTTCATCGTATTTTGCTTTCACATCAAACAACTCCGACTGAACTGATTCAAGGGCACTGTGTAAAGTGGACACTTTTTGTTCTGCTTCGCCCAATTTCTTAGCTACAGACATTTGAGTCTCTTGTAACTGACGCTCTTTTTCGGCAAAAACTTTCTGAACTTCTTTTTCCTTCTCTTTTGCCCGGGCATCAGCTGTGGCTTCCATCCGATCTTCGTATTCTTTTAACTTCTCTCTCAGCTGTTTAATGGTCACTTCTTGATTCTTGACTTCAGCAAATTCATGATTATAATCATCCAATGTCTCCCTTAATTGCTTATTTTCAATCTCCAGGTCCTGCACTTTCTGTGCTTTTTTCTGTATGTTTAGTGCATGTTCCAGGAATGGTACAGGGTCAGGCATGTCAATGAGTTTCTTATAAACAGATAAAAAGGACGTTTCGACAAATTTACTCCGTTTGGAGAGGGCATCAACTTCGCTCTGAAAACTACGTAACAGAGGGGCTACAACTTTCCGTACATCTTCCGGTGTGTTCTTTTTAAAATCACGACTTTGATCCACTAATTTTTTACGCGAAATGTCACTTTCGTCTTGTCGGTTAGCGATTTCAGTAGCAGTAGTGTCGAGATTCTTCTGTAAATCTTGCAAATCGAAATTTTTCCAGTACTGACACATTGACTGTATACTGGCAGCCATCTTGAACAGTGGACGTGTTTACTTCCCGAACCGGTGTAAAAGGAATCACATTCCTTTTGTACACCTCATTAAAAAACTGCATTATTGTCGTCATATAAAAACTTAGAAACACGCGTGTACAATACATGCTTATCTAACAAGTTAAGCCTGTTTATACGAAAATATTTCCAAACAAATTATTTTCAAATGAAAAAAAAAATCAGTGCTTTAAAAAAGCTAACCGACATTTTGAGAAATAATAACCCAGTTGTTGAATGTTTTAGTTTTCTATTCACATGAAAAATTTGCGGTTATTGCACTCAACAATCAATATAGCTTGTCAAGTCCTCCTAAAACAAATCGATTCTTTAACAGGTACTACTTGCCACTTATTACTTATATTCCTGCTGTAGTTTAAACGAAAAAAGTAACAATTGTTTAATTTTTGATTTTTTTTATCTTTAAAAGAAATTATTCATCATATTTTTTAGCATTTATTTTAAAATGAAATGCTTCTATTTTAAAAACATAAATGTTTCAAAGATATTGAAGAAAAATTATTAATAATAATAATAATTGTACCAAATTAATACATTTAAATTACACAGGAGTCAGGACCATACTGCCGATTTTGTTCTCGGCTTCTTCAGAGGAAAGTAAAACAAAACCACTCACAAAGAAGCAGAGCAGAGGATCTTAAAATTAGATAACAACCAAAATATACTGTTCACAGATAAACATTTATTTAAAAAATCAAAAATTACATGCATATTGTTGTTCCATATGCTAAGCAAGCAGTAACAAAAAACATAATGGTAAACTAAACAAAAAGATTTACTTACATTTTTGTCAGTAATGTATCATTCTTTAAAAAACTGACAACTTATACTTTTCTTTTCTTTTTTCAACCTTTTTTTTTTTATTTTTACAATGAAAAACTTGTATTAAAATCTTTTAACAGTCAATTTCTTCAGATACTTTTCTCTTCTTTTCTTCACAATTTATTTTCTCTTTTTTCTTCAGATACATTTCTTTTTCTTCTTCAGAAATCCTTTTTCTCTTTCTTAGGAGCTGAAAGCGAAAATTAGAAAACACAACGCCTAACCTAGGCTAAAAGATCAAATTTTAAAATAAATATTTAAATCTCATTTTAAATAGAGAACGAGAATGGGGCAGTCTTTCCCGCATCGAACGACTCTGCCCAATAAAACGTTGACTCTTCGAGTCAACAATACAAACAAATCAAAGGCAATAATTCCTCTTCTTGGGAATAAAAGCACCTCTTCCAAATAAATGTCTCTTAGACAAAGTTGAAACAAATCTCCAAAAGCCGCCAAGTACTTTTGTTATCTTTAACAAAGGTCTGTTGCGGGTTGTAGCTGAGTGCACTGAAAATGTATCAGAAGGTAATTTATCTAAGATTATGCGTGCTTATTATCCCACAACACGTAGATCAAATAAAGAATATAAGGACAATTTGCATTGCAAGAAGTTACTAAAAACACAGTGGTTAGAGATCCAACAGTAAAGAGATTTATATATATACAATATTGATACATGCAAGGATAACAGAATGTTTGTTGATTGTGACACTTGAGACAAGGTTATGAAGAATGTTCATGCAGAAATTTGATCAATAAAAGTTAATGGTTTTGATTTGTTAGTGAAATTAAAATAATTTGGTTTCTGCAAGGAAAGATCTCAAATGTGTTCGTTCAAATATTAGTGTGTATGCGTGTGTTACTTGTTAGAATTTAAGTTGTGAAGAGTTGTTCGCCTTTAACTGTTTGGCTAAATTGATGAATTGTATAATTACTGTTTGTGTAGTGAAAACGTTCACTTTTTAAGTCAATTGTAATTTGATTACCACGCGGACAATGGTCGATTGAGTGCTGTGTTGAGTTTGTTGAGAATTTTGATGTGATGTTGAGTCAGTGAATTGAAACGCGTGGAGTTTGATAGCATCTCACGAAACTTGATGACTGACAATATTTATTTCTGTAAAAGTGACAGGAAATGTGGCACAAGGCCTAAAAATGGGGAATGGGGAAAGGACGGTCATCATTTGTCTTAATTTTAAAACTTAGCTAGCCACAACCAATGACCCAATCATAGAGAACAATATTCCTATCACCAAAACAACAGATTCATACTTACCTTTCTTACTACATCCACCAAAATACTTAATGTCTCAATGAAAATCGTAAATAGTCCCCATATGTACAAATCGTTGTCTGTTAGGGGAGGGGGATAAAAAACAACAAGTTAAAAAATCCCCAATGAGTATGTACAATATGGTTATAAACTATTTACAAGAAACTAAACAAAATCATGTTAGTAATAAAAAAAACCCACAAAACTTAAATGTGGCAGAAATATCAGTTAACTGGACGAAATCGATGCGGGACTAAAAAAAATATAGAAAACATTCATCCATCCCAAACACTCACACAGACACGCTGATACAACAAATACTAAAAACACACACGCGAAACGAAAGGCGCCTTGCATCCACCAGAGAACTGACATCACTCACCACCTAACGAGGGAGGGGACAAGGAGTTAAAATAAAGGAAAATAGGTAGGGAGAGAAATAAAAGGGGCCAATGAGCAAACAAACCTTAGCTGTTTACTGGAAAAGAAAAGAAAAACTAAAGAATCAAATACAAAAAACCTACTCTAGCCTAAATCCAGGGATGGGTTGCACAAGTTCAACCCAGGAAAACAAAATGCCACTCCAAGTCAGCCCCTTTTACTTGGCACAAGCGCGTAAGATTCACCCACCTTTTGCCAAATTCTGATGAATTCAGCTACCTTTTGCCAAATTCTGATTCCGCCGCCTTTCCGTCCTAATCTTGACTTTAACCTGGTGCTTAAAGAACAAGATCTGTTGTGAAGAAGTGAACTCTCGCCATCATAGAATTCCTTCTGACGCGTCATCAAAATCAGACTCACATAATACCTAGTAAGCAAAAGAACACATATTGTTCAGCCTTCGTCATGTGCGGCACCACATTGCTACAAAAAGAACTGGCCTCAAGGACAAAGAACTTTCCCTGTAGCATGCGGACCATGAAGCCTTCAACAAACTTACACAACGGCGCTACCACCCTGCAATGAAAGAAGGCGTGACCAATGGTCTCGACTTCCCCACTACAGCGTCGGCAGTTTGTAGATTTCTCCAAGCCCGCTGAACAAAGACTTTTGGCGACCCAGAGGACCCCACGAATCACCAGCCAGGTGAGTGATGCCTCATTGTTATTGAGGCATTTCAACCCAAGCGCCATATTGATCGAGCTTCCTGCTTCGTAAGACCGAGCTCGTCAATCAGATCATCACGAACTTACTAATAGTTGATGCAATGCCCTACGAGACAACGCCTGGACGTTGGAGAAGCCATCCGACGCCCATAAGAGGCGTTTCAGAGCAATACGACATTCACGATAGAAAGAGTATTCGGCTCGGGGTAAACGATGGGCCTCCGCCTTCTCAAGGATGGGAAGTTTGTACGGACGTCTTCCTTCCAAAAGGCGCCCTCCTCATCCCATTCGCGACACATTCGGTCTAGGAAGGCGATGCGAAGCATATATTGACGAATCTTAATTCTAGGCATACCCAGACCACCTTCAGATGGATGAAGGCAACAGATCTTCCGAGATACCATAGCGGCCTTGTCTCTCCACAAGAAAGAGAACAAGAGACATACATTAGTTTGACATACGGAAGTGGAAGTACAGAGAGTCTGTAAAGGAGAATCAGTAGATGTGTGAAACACATACTTCCGCCCCCCCTTCAAGAAAAGATTCCTCCGAGACCACAAATTAACCGCGATCTCGGCCTTCCTTGTACCTCCGACCAATTCATTTCCAACTGGAGATCAGGACCGAACCAGACGCCGAGTATCTTGACCAGCCCATCCATCCAGAGGAAAGGTCCGGGAAGAAAACTCCCTTCCACGCATCCAACCGCAAGTCAACAGACTTATCGCGGTTGATCTTGGCCCCTGTCACCATCTCATAACCACTGATCTCTTTAATGACTTCGTCAATCTCGGCTCTGCTCGACACAAGAACCAAAACGTCATCAGCATAGGCAGAATACCTGGCTGAGTTGGTATCCCCAGGCAGGGAAATTCCGCGCAGGAGCGGATTCGCCTTTAACTTGCGAAGGAAAGGTTCCAACGCAAGAACGTAAAGCAAAGGCGAAAGCGGACAATTTGACGAATGGAACGAGACAATACGAAAGGCTCCGATGTTACCCCATTCACTTCCACCAGCGCAGAGTCACATACAAAAAGTCGGATCCAGGGCGAAAGTCGGCTCTGAAACCGGCCGCCGAAAGGACAGCCCCCAGAAAACGATGGTCAACCCTATCGAAGGCCTTGGACTGATCTAAATTGATCAGTACGGCTTCACTATCGATTTGTTCTAAAATCAAACGTACCATATGAATAGTCCTGCCTTCACAGCACAAGTCTGTTCAGAGCCAATCAGGACTAGACAGAACAAGTTGCTAAGATCTTCGCCAAAATCTTTAACTCTGTATTTAACATCTAAACCATCCCCACCGTTCTTGTCCTTACGCAGCAACTTGATCACACTCCTGGTGAAGCGTTGTGGTATAGACCCCTGCTTCATCCAGTTGTTGAAAGATACAAAAATGACGAATGCCTCAAGTAAACTTCGTAGGGAAGACCATCTAGTCCCGGAGATTTATCCAGGTCAACCTGTTTCAGCGCTTCCCAGATTTCCGACTCTGTGATGGGACCCTTGCACCCAGCCGCTTCAGCTGCCTCGGGGCAGGGAAGTCGGCTAAATAGGCGTCGAACTAAGCAGGGCTCAGACCGGTCTCCCTCGTGAAAAGTTCCTGAAAGTAATCCCGAAAGGCCTCGCATATGCCCGCGTTTGTAGTCACGGTCGCTTATCCGGCAATATGACGCATGCGATATGCCGCCGAGACGCGTTCCGATTTTCCCCTGCACGCACTTCAGCGGCCATATT